CCCCTGCCCCAGCCCTACACCCCGTTACCACGACCGCCGCTGCAAAGCCGACCTATGGCTTATCAAGAAGCCACTGCGAAGAAGGCTGACCTTTGGCGGACACCAAACCGATGCCTGTTATGCTTCCACTGTAACGAACCTGGCCACGTACTTCAAACATGCCCTTAACGTCAAACGGGCCTAAGTGGTTTCAGCGTCAACGCCCCCCCGCCCCCTTCCAGGCCAGCGGCCGCATGAAATCGAGGCATATCTGAGGGAAATGGAAGGACAAGCGCAGTCCCGCTCCAGGTTGCCTTCACCTTAATCACGCCACACCCAGTCGCCACAATCAGCGCGTTTCTATGGAGCAGGAGGGCGATCTTCAAGCCCTCATCAGAGAAACTAACGACAGCGACATACGGAGATAACGCCGCTTCTCAGCGATCTAAGCAAGACTGTCCAACATTACGAACCGTTGCCGCGGCGGTGTGACGCCACCAGACGGCGTGATGACACGATCTGACGCTGGGTCACTACGACTTAACACCGCGACTTGCACTCGAAACTTGCACTCGACATAGCCGACAGTTCGAAACTTGCACTCGACATAGCCGTGACCAGTCCAAGCGACACACCGCACAATCGATCACTACTCAACCTCGAAGCCATACGCCAAGTGCCGACTTACAGGTCATGATCGACGAACGTCAAGTAACCGCTTTCGTTGACACTGGCGCCGATTGCTCAGTGATAGGCGGACTGTTTGCAGCACATCTGAGGAAAGTCAGAAATACGTGGTACGGACTACAAATTCGCACGGCAGGAAGGCATCTCGTAATGCCAATTGAACGTTGCACCGCACGAGTGATTTTTCACGGTAATACGTACCCAGTGAACTTTGTCGTTCTGCAACAGTTTTCACATGATGTCATCCTTGGGATGGATTTCCTGACCGAAAATGGTGCAGTGATCGACCTCAAAACGGGATCTTTTACGCTTACCACTGAACAATCCTCGTTACCGGAATGCAACGGCTACCCAAGTGCCCTCCTCGCAATCCTTGATGATGAAGTGACAATCCCACCTCGTACAAGCACCTTCGCATCCATTGAAATGAAAGAAAAATCAGCCGGAGTCGTGATCGTCGAAACGAATGCGCAGTTGCTTTTCGATCGACAAATATGTGTGGCACGTAACGTCGTGAAATTACATCGAGGGCGAGCAGACATTCTTGTAACAAACTTAGTTCTGAGCACGAGCACTTGAATAATAGCACGATGATCGCATTTGTAGAATCGATTGACTAAGTAGGAAGCGCATGTACGCTGTCACGATCATCCGCCGACGTATAATTGCTGATGAAAGATGACCCGACTTTTGACGCAAATCCTGCCCTTCCAGAGCACAAGCAAGGAAAGCTACGCAGCCTTCTTCTGGGTTATGCCTAATGCTTCTCAAAGACATCAAAAATCGGACACACGCTGATTGCGAAGCACCGTGTAATCACCGACGAATCAGTCTGACTCATCTGCCATAGCCTATATCGCGTTTCACCGCGAGAGCGAGACGCAATCAGAAAACAAGTGGAGGAAATGTTTCACGAAAACATCATTAAGCCATCGAATAGCCCGTGGTCTTCACCTTTTGTACTCGTGAAGAAGAAAGATGGTACACTGAGGTTTTACGTTGATTAACGCCGACTCAACGGCATCACGAGAAAAGATGTGTGCCCCCTACCAAGAATAGATGACGCTCTTGATCGACTCTGCAGTGCCAAGTACTTTTCCTCGATGGACTTGAAGAGCGAATATTGGCAGATTCAAGTCGATGAAAAAGACCAGGAAAAGACCGCATTCATTACACCGAATGGCCTATTTGAATTTCAAGTCATGCCATTTGAACTTTGATCTGTACCCGCCACGTTTCGACGGGTTATGGACACAGTTTTGGCAGGACTCAAGTGGCAAACCTGCCTCGTTTATCTAGACGATGTTGTTTTTGCAGCGAACTTTGAAGAATGCCCTGACCCCCAGAAAACAGCCGCCATCGGAAACTTTCCTCCACCAGCTCGCAAGAAAGCGGCGGAGAGGTTTCTGGGACTTTGCGCCTATTACAGGCGTTTCGTCCGAAACTTCTCACAATTCGCCGAGTCTCTTACTCGCCTCACGAAATCCAATGTGAAGTATGAGTGGCAGAAGCCACAAGAAGACTCCTTCCGAGAACTTCAGCGACGGCTACAGTCGCCGCCACTACTTGGTCACTTCGATGAGGACGCCGAGACTGAGGTTTACACAGACCCAAGCGGCTTAGGGCTTGGCGCTGTATTGGTCCAAACAAAGGACGGGCAGGAACGGGTCATCACGTACGGCAGCAGGTCTCTTTCGAAGGCTGAATGCAACTACTCCACAACCGAAAAGGAGTGTCTCGCTGTCATTTGGGCAGTCACAAAGTTTCGACCGTACTTGCACAGCAGACCATTCAAAGTAGTCAGCGACCACCATGCCTTGTGCTGACTCGCTAACCTGAAGGACCCGTCCGGTCGCTTAGCTCGTTGGAGCTTACAGTTACAGGAGTTTGATGTAACAGTGGTCTACAAGTCGGAAAGAAAACATTCAGATGCGGACTGCCTGTCTAGAGCAGCCAATGAACCAGCTCCACCTAATGACGATGACGACGACAGTTTTCTCAGGCTAATCAGTGCTGGTGACTTCGCAGACAACGCACAGATCCCAACCTATGCAGAGTCATTGACTTCTTGGATAGCCAGACCGATTCACCACTCAGGATGTACAGGCGTGTCACCTCGTCACTGTGCCTCCGCAATGGCATACTCTGGAAGAACCTTGCACCAAATAGGTCGACATACCTTTTAGTCGTACCATACAATCTGCGGCAAGAGATTTTGCAGGCGTCTCACGACGAGCCGACCGCCAAACATCTTGGATTCGCTCGTACTTTATCAAGAATCAGAAAAAATACTACTGACCGCGTCTCAACGCCGACATTGCTCACTATGTAAGAACCTGCCGGGACTGTCGACAGCGCAAGACCCCACCTGTTAGGCCGGCTGGACTCTTGCAGCCAATTGACCCCCCATGAAGCCCTTTCAGCAAATCGGTATGGACCTGCTTGTTCCATTCCCGACGTCATCTAACGCGAACAAATGGGTAGTGATGGCTACAGACTACCTGACGCGCTACGTCGAATCGAAAACGTTACCGTCAGGGAGTGCACTAGAGGTTGCAAGATTCTTTGTGAGGAACATCGTTCTCCGTCATGGCGCACCTGAGGTCCTTATTAACGACAGGAGAATGGTGTTCACTGCAGAGCTCACACAACAGATATTGCATTTCAGCCACACCTGTCATCGCCGTACGACAACCTACCAACCCCAGACAAACGGGATCACGAAACGTTTCAACAAGACGCTTGCCGATATGCTCACTATGTACGTGGACGGCGAGCACAAGACGTGGGACGAAGTTCTACCCTAGGTTACGTTCGCGTATAATACGGCGCAGCAGGAGACAACCCATGTGACGCCTTTCAAACTTGTTCATGGCCGAGATGCTACGACTACGCTGGACGCCATGCTACCACATGTTGATGATGAGAACATCGACGAAGATGTTGCCGGATTTCTACAACGCGCAGAGGAAGCCCGCCAGCTTGCCCGAACACTCATAAAGAAGCAGCAACACGAGGAATGCCCGACACTACAACTTGGGATGCCGCAAGCAGGATTTCGCACCCAGTGACCGTGTAATGGTATGGACACCAATTCGCTGTCACAGTCTCAGCGAGAAGCTCCTCCGTCGCTACTTTGGACCTTACAAGATCACACGGCGTCTGGGGCTGCTCACATATGAAGATGTTCCTGATGGGGTTATGCAATCTCAATGAAGCCGGGCACGCCCTGGTGCATGTCGTGCACATGAAAAAGTTTTTCCAGCGTTAGCGGACTCATGGACAATCTTTTGTGATGTGTATGTTTTTTCCTGCACCAATTGTTAAGAAAGCTCCCAATTTCATTTCCATTCATTACGTTGTAGCATCAGGACAATGCCCTTTCGTGGGGAGCCTTGCCACGTGCATTTATAATGGTGCCCACTTCGTCGCGCAGCACCGTCCTCAGTTTATCTACAGTGTGGCGTCGGTAACACGTTGTTCCGTCGCTCGCGCGGTAGGCATGCCTTTGATAAGCAGTGGGACCAAGTGATAATCTGATGCGTACTGGCGAAGAGAGCAGGGGTATTTCTTCCCTTGATGCTGAACCGAGCAGGCCGTTTCGAGGCCACCGACAGTCTTTTCACGCAATTCGTTTATGGGCAAAAGTTCGCTCAAATAAAGTTTATTTCTTTTCAAGTCGCCTCGTCTCCGTGCTTAGGGGCCAAGAGCGCATGAGCTTCTGCAATGAAAATGCTTGTTTGAGGGTGCCGAATACCGGAAGAAGAAAAGAATGGGCCTAAAGCTGCATAGGACACAGGAGTGAGAGACCTGAAGGCATCTGTAAAAAATTTAGGGCAAGCATATTTGTGTTTAAGTTCCATGAAGTATGTGTGTATATGTGCAATAGGTGCATGCTTCGTCACTTCCACAAAGGATACATCACATTCTATGAACGGGCACTGCAACGGCGGTAGGTGTGCAGTAAGAGCCATGAGAAATTGTTCAAAAAGGGACACACCTGTTATTTCGCCTAGGCCCTTCACGCGAAGTGAGTAAGGCTGCTTCATCGAGGGGTGATTTCCAAAAAGTGCAGAACAAGACAAATCATTTATTATGAAATGGGTAGAGTGTTCCTTATCACCGTTCACTTTCAGATAATAGATAAAAGACATGTAGGACCTCTGCAGGCAGATTGACCACTCATTCGACTCACCGTAAAGGCTCTCTACAGGGCTCGTTGCAGGCAACTGAGCTCTGAGGCAGCGCTTTCTTTCCTCACTTGTGGAGTGCCTAATTAAGTAAGAGCATGACAAAAGCACTGGTGTGACCAAAGCAAGCAGAGAATGACAAACCTTGGCCAGCCCATTGAACAGCGTCTGAACCAGGCTCAGGTCATTGGCCACCAAGCGGGGCAACTTGCGGCTTAAGTGGCCAAGGGCAGAACAGGCCAGCACTCGGAGACGCATGTCCTGCATCACATAAGAGAGGCTACAGAATGCTGTGCACCACTTGGTACACAGGTGACCCTACATAAATCTCGACATCTTCCAGCAAGTGGCCTGCCTTTACTGGTCTCTATGAACATCTGCTTTAAGGGTGTGAAATGGCTCTGAGAACTTTGGCATTACCCTGAGCTACTTTTTATTCACTTATTTATTCATTTATTCATAATACCTCAAAGGTCCCACTTGGGACACTACATAAGGAGTGGGCAAAGAGAAAATACTGGCCGGTCAGGTTATATTTCATGACTTGAAAGATGGTCTTCGACTGCAGCCTTGAATTAAGCAATGTCAGTGATGAGGGCGATATATGAAGAGAGAGCATTCCATTCTCCAGCAGTATGCAGAAAAAATTAATGTTGATGGGTGGTCGTGTGTGCATGTGGCTGATACACAGCATTTTGGTGAGAGTGACGAGAGGAACGATGTGTAGGAATGATGATTTGGTTTCCTGGAGGCAGTGAATAGAAAAACCTAAAAGATTAGATGAGCAGCCTTGCAGTGAGAATAAAGTGAGGGGATGCATAGCTGGGATTTCAGGGCGGATACACTTGTCTTGTAGGAGTAATCAGAGAGAATAAACCTTGCAGCATGCCTTTGGACCGATTCAAGAGTTAACTACATGCTATGTCAACTTGGTGGTTGTCGTAGATAGTAGAGACATATTATAGTTTTGATTGTATTAACATTTTATATGCAAGCAACTTGACTGTAGAGAATGCTGATTATAAGTTACGGCATAGATAAACTAATAATCGATTGCAGGAATTGGTTAGTTGGTGTATATAATGGGTCCAGGACAAGTCGCTAGATATATGTGCTCCTAGGTATTTAAAAATGTAGCATTGAGTCAAGGTGTTGTTGTTGAGGGAGTACGAAGATGCTACATAGTTACGGCAGCGATGAAAAGATTCGTGAGAGCACTTACTTACGTTGAGAGACATGTACCATCGGTTGCACCATGTTTGGATTTCGAGGAGATCATGCTGGAGAGAGGAGTCTATGGAGTTTGCTATTTGACGATACAGAACACAGTCATCCGCAAAGAGGCGTATATTTGATGATACATTATCTGGAAGGTCATTAATATATACAAGAAAGAGTGGCGGTCCAAGTACGGAGCCCTGCGGCACACTAGATAAAACAGGGGATAGAATGGAGGAACATGAGCTGGTGGAAACAAATAGGCAATCGGTCAAGAATTCACCAACCGGTTAACTGTGTTGGGGTGTACGTTTAGGTTCGAAACTTTAGCACTGGAAGAATGTGCGATACTTCATCAAATGCTTTCTCGAAGTTCAAGAATAGAGCCTCAGTGACGATGTTGTGATCCAGGTTGGAATGTAAATCATGCATGAATAGAGCGAGCCGAGTGTTGCAAGAGTGAGCTTTGCAAAATCCGTGCTGGTTAGGATGAAAAAAGCTGACAGATGACAGAAATTTGGCAATGTGTGAGTGTAAAATATGCTCCATTAGTTTCGAACAGACGCTGGTGAGGAAAATGAGACGGTAGTTACTAGGATTTGTATGGTCGCCTTTTTAATTAGTCGAGCCCGCTTATAACGAACCTGAGCGTGACGCGACATTTGTTCGCTGTATCCCGAAGTTTGTAGTAAATGAAACAGCTCTTAAAAAAAAGTTGCGAGTGAAAACACGAACTTTTTTGCCCCCAAAAGTCCGTGACGCACGTGTTTCCAAGAGCAGAAGCGATTAGGGCGGTCTCGAGTTTATTTAAAACGGCAAATGCCAAGAATAGTGGGCGGGAACGATGCGGTGCAACATAACCATAGCATTTCTAGAGGTGATTGCATCATTATCGGGATGCATCGTAGCTCATGGCTTGCGGCGATGAGAACGCCACCACCACGTATACCGTCGGCACGATCTTTGCGAAATAAATCGAAGTGGGGAAAGAGCGGAAGAATCTTCAAATCGCAAATGGACGAGTTAAGCCACATTTCAGTGCTTACAGCACGTGCTGACAAAGTTAATTTATGAGGGTGGGTACTCTGCGAGCATTCCGAATGAAATAACTTTGGTACAGGAAATATAAGGCATTGCGGATGATGAAACTAATCTTTTGCGAAAATTGAGTTTGTAGTGATCCTTACAATTTTATTCCTGTTCGCTCTAGTACAGTTACCCAAGACAGCAGCCATCTTGCAAGGTGTAAACACTTGTCTGCCGGTGCAAGTTGTTAGTAGAGTAATTACGCTAGCAAAACAATGTGTGTGGCCCACTATTAGTGGCTATGTGTGATTCTCCAAAGCTGCTAGAAGGCAGCATTCAGAAAATCTGTGCACTATTCCATAAGGTGCACCCCATGCCACTTTTGCGGAAAACCATTAGGAGTGGCACCTTCAGTGAACGACACAGTCAGGACCAATTTTATGTGGACCCGCTTGGACATTCATTTCGTCCTGATGAGCAGGTTGGTTTGGCTTGGAGCGCACGTCTTTCAGAAAAAACCTTGTGCACGCATATCTCATTCTTTACGAATAAGCCTCATCTCAGACACGGCAACCAAAGTACACACTCTTTCAACAAAGGCTTCAGGGCCAACATAATCTTCTCTATGCTGTTGCAAACATGCATGACTCCCCCCAATAAAGACACACTGCAGATGCAGTGACATCGGCCTGCCCCCGCAACAATCTAAAAAGAAGGAGCTAGTGTGGCTGCAGCATTTTTTTGTCGGTCGTGAGCTATGCACGTTTTTATGCTGGTGTGTTTGTGCCTTTACTCAGTGTAACAGTGTGGCTGTAATAGTGAATAAGATAAGCTCCAAGGCCAACGCACCATATCCTGGGAAGGCAATGCTAACTGCAGCAGAGTTGCCATCAGCTGGCCTCCCACCATGCTCAGCTTGTCTTCAGGGTTGCTGCAATAGTCAAGTCATGCAACACAACAGATGCGAACAGCCATTTTTTTACTGAAAAGCACTGGCTTAGGAAAGGCAAATGTTACCCTTCACCATCATGATACAATTTAAAAGTACTAAAATCCAAAATGACTTTCTCTGGAGTGCCTTTCAGCTCAGATTTAAAACAGCTGAAACTAAAGCAAAAAAAAAACAAGAAAACAGACAAAATGAAGACAGGACAAGCACCAACGAAATTCCAAAAAGAAAAACACTGACACAAATGAAGAAACAGTGAGATGTTGCCCATAGGAAAAAAAAATCGGCTCTTTCTTAAATAGCTATCCTCCCTCATTGTCTCACTACACAATAATGGCCAGCAAGTTGCCCCCATATTGCTGTACTACCAACATCCCCCATGTGCTCTTGCAGATCAGGTGTTTACCACTCTGGCCACGTGGTAATTTTCCACATGAAAGTGGAATTTTGTATACAATGCCCCTTACACAAAAGGGATCTAACATCTCCTCGTTTGATAGTGCTTTTTTTTATTGTGGGGCAGCTAGCTCACCTTGCACAAACTTGGTGCTGGGAACATCGCTTTGACACCAGACCATTTTCAATCTTTATTGAAAGGCCATGACATGATTATGCAATAATTTGAACATAGTGTGTATTAGCGCAGTACGTAAAAGAAAGGGACATGATGCAGACGTAGAGATAGGTAGGCCCTTTCTTTTATGTAGTGCGCTAATACACGCTACGTTCATGGATGACCAACTCGCCTGATCAGCAACCCTTCTGAACTTAAATAATTTGAGTTTTCAGATAAAAATAGAATTCAAAGGTCTATTCTGCTTATACATATATGAAAAATTGACTGTAAAACAATAGCACTTCAGTGCAAAGTCCGCCCTAGATGTCGCCGGCTATGGCCTTCACCCAGTGCCAGTGGCCATCATTCTGCCAACTTGTGGGCAATGTTATGTGCTGCATAGAGCGGAGCTTCTGCCTTCTCCTAAAGCATCAGCCGCTCAATTTCAGTGCAAACGCTCAATAAGGCTGAAATAGTTAAGTTGCATATAAAGCTGGCCACTGAGCAATAGCATTTACAAAAATAAAGACTGTCGAGAAGCAAGCAGCTTGTAATGTCATGGCTGGCGAGTCTGGACTCTCGGGCCATTCATGTGATTTATAAAAAACTTTATGATAAAGTAACTGCTCGATTAAATGAGCTAACATTTCAGCAGCTTGCTTGTGAATGCAGAAAAATTAACACACACAACACAGATATTAAGGGACAGTAAGGAGAAAAACAATTCTTCCCATGTTGACTAATTACTCTTTCACAATTTCAAAATACCCATGCTTGCCATGAGAAGCTGACTGGCAAGCGAGAAGGCATGCAATAACAACATGCAGGTGGCTACACCACTCCAAACACCATGACATCAAAGACTATGACAGTGTACTACGCACTACGCAGCTCTTAATCGGTAAAAAGAAGGCACACTGCTCCCTGAGGGGGAGCCATAGACTTAACACACCAAGTTCCTGGAAAATTCATTGAGCCAATGTTGTCAAAAACAAAAATAGATAAAACAAAGACTTGGAGGATTCCTGAGCTTTGCTTTTAAGAGTACAACACGATAGCATTACGAGACCATGTGCACACTGCCTTCTCCATTGCTGGCCTGGCTTCGGATCTAGGTGGATGCCTCAACCGAGCTGCAAGAAAGCGTATGACTGCATGCCTAATAGTGGCCAATTCAAACTATCCTAAAATGCCTACTGCAGGTACAGTTGTTCATTGCCCACTAAGGGCCCATTATATGGGTCCATTATATGAGTCCATTACATGTGAACCCACACAGCTGCTCACTTTAATTATGTCTTTGCTGCTGATGAAGATTAATGTCTGAGTGCTCTACAATAAGTGGGAACACCCCCGTCAATCAGTCAATTTTTATTGCGAACTATACATGTAATGGCCAATTATTATTATACGGGTAGAAACCCGGAGGCAATTCAGGGGCTGTTGCAGAAGTAGTTGCCACTCAGCCACAGAGCAAATAAGCCCAGACAAAGGCAAAGACATACAACAAACTCATAATAGATTCATAAAAACACAGTAAATACATATAAATACTGTTGAGGAAGGAGAGGGAGACGGCGGCGAAAAGCCCGTGCCAAGGTCACAGCTTTTATTCGGGAGGCAGGCAAAGCCAGAGTCGCTGCTGCAGCGTCCAGCCAGGCCAGGAGCTCAGCCGTTCTCTAATTCCTCGTGACCCACGCCACACGAGCGACGCAGCTGGCCAAATTTAGCGTGGTGCTACATAGGCTCCTTTCCCTAGCGCTTTGCGTGATCGAAAACATATGTACAAAAAAAAGAAGGGAGACAGATCTATGTACATGAGCGACAGTCCGTGGATTGTCCGTGGAAAGTCTGAGTCCTCATTGTGGATAAAGGTTGGGCATTCGAAAGTTCCGGCAGACGACACTGGGAGCCACAGAGTGGGCGAGGTGCATGCCGAACAGATGTTGTGGGCAGCAGTGATGCAACCCGCCGAGGCCCTGGTGACTGCGGGCATCGGCGCCACCATCGGTCGCTTTTCAGATAATGTCTCAGTGAGGATAGTGCGGAGCGTGAGGATGCCTCGTGAAGGCAGTTGTCGCAAGTGTTGCATGATCGTTGTAGGCATGAGCGTCCTTGAGAAACTGACGCTGTCTGCATGAGGTGCAGGCATGAGCATGCTGGTCGATGGTCCCTGGAACGGCATGCAGGAAGAAAAGCTCTGCAATTCACACTGCAATTTTCGACGAGCTGTAGAGGAAGTGGCAGGCAGGCGCGTTGAACAGAGATGGCTTGGTGGCAGGCACTCGTGAAGCACCTGGATGGTACTGACGCTGGCACATCTCTGTCGCCTGAACTTGAGCAGCACTCGTCATAATGACTGCGAAGTTGAAGTTTATGTTGGGAGTGCTCAAATGGCTCAAGTTCCTTTGCGCTGTCTTCAGAGGTGTTCGGCAGCAAGTTGTGCAGCGCAGAAGGCTCAGGCTGTTCCAGGGTATGGCGTGGGGTATGTGTGGATACGGGACCACCTTGTTCAGCGGGAACAGGAGAACTTGGATGCAGGATGGCATGCTGACCCTATGCTTGCGTGGCGGGTAGATCATGATAGGTCGTTCCACTGAAGGCAGAACTGGAGCATCGTCCGCAGTTGTTGGCATGCTAGCGATAGCTTTGCTGCTGGCGTGGGAAATGGCAGGTTATAAATTTTGCAAGTTAGTGTGAATAAAAACTCTCATAAATGATATGGTGCGGATGATGCAATGGTACAACGTAGAGTTCCACAGTTTTGACGCAAAATAATAAAATTAATGTGATCTGTAGTTATTCCTTATGCAGGAAATGCATAGTAATGGTTGGTTGAGGTGGATTGTAATAAAAATGCGGACTTTTGATATGTTAATGCTATTTACGGGCTTAAAACAGTATTATGTAGAAGTTTGTAGTAAAGCAGTAAAACACGTTACTGTTTAGTAAACCCGCTTAATACATCTGTGGTGGTGAAATTTGTGACATAAGTAGGCTGGCGCAAATATTCGAGCACTTTGAATATTTAGATGACTATTACATTACAGTCAAGCCACATATAGTGGCCCCACTTAAAACGAACTTTCGCTTAAACAATATCCACGTGACCGTGAAAATATACATTGTTTCAATGACACCAAATCGCACTTACAACGAACGTCTTCGAGCGCCACCGATCGGTTACAGCGAACGGAGTCCGCCCTCTGCCGACTTCCCGGGAAACCACTTTTGACCCTGAATGGGGCATCGGCGAGGTGCCCATAGATTTTTATTGTTTAACGCCGACCCTGCCTCTGCGCCCCTCTAGTTGCCACTCTCCCCGACCGCTCTTTGTTACGCACCCTTCACTCCTTTGTCCCCCTCTACTCTGAGCACCCACGCATAGCCAGACATAGCCCGTGTTTTCACACTGCCACTCATCTTCCAAAAACCGGTCGGCCATCTCCCCTGTTTTTTATCACTGGTACCGTCGTTGACGTCGCCGGCCTAGAGTGACGACCAGACCATTTGCCAACATCATCTGTATCCGATCATCTGCATCTAGTCTTATCGTATCGTTCTAGTGCACGCACATACGCTACCCCACCCATTTTGGTAATTTGAGATTCTTTTCATGTTTAGGGGCTGTTCTTGCTCACTTCGCACTCAGCTCCGCATTCCCTCCACACACGTGCGGAAGCGTAGAAACAGCTGTTAATTTGGGCGAAACGAGCCACGAAACATCGAAGTCGGTGAGGCCATGCCAACTCGCCGGCGCAACAGCACGATTCTTTGACCACGGCCGCTGATTCTTTGAAGACTGCCGCGCGCGCCGATCGAGGTGGCTATGCTTAGACCTTTGTGCTCGCAGGCACTCTTTCCATTTTTTCTACGCACGCGTTCCGCGTTTGGCGGTCCTTTCAAGCAAGCTGCTAGACCTGCCTCTTTCCCGCGTGTTTTGGTTTTCAAGATCGCCTTCCCGCCGTATCTTCCCCTCTCTTCACTCTATCGCAACTCCTTGCCCTTCTCTCGAAAATCCGTTCTTCTCTCTTGACACAACTCCTTTGCTCATCTCCACCGCTTCGCCGCGCCAGCCACACTGACTAAAATTCAGAAGTTTTGATTTCTGACTAGCAACAGGCTCAGAGCTCTACCACGCGTTCTGGCGTGTGTTGCTCGCTCTCCGTGTGCGTGTGTGGTCAGGATGGCGATTGGGAGGCCTTGCACGCTTTTTCCTGCCCCTCAACAAAGCGTTGAAAGTGTAACCGCTGGGCTTGGGCATAATCCGCGTGTTAGGCGCCGTGTTGCAGAGCGTTTGCTCATAGCTGTTGACCACCTGGCAGCCAATTTGCCGCTTCAGGCATCCCGGTATTCAGCTGTGGAGATGGTGAATATTTTGTGGGCGGCGGTCACGGCTACATGCGCGCGAAACTGTTTTCGCAAG